AGCTTGACCGTACTTGTGATTGAAACAATATGAGTTGTCACCAAATTGACTTTTCTATAGTATAAGTTTCACATATAAACACTGTTCTGCCTGTGCAATTTTAGCTTGAATTAAGAAATATTATCAAGTCTACAGTAGAAGCTAATTTCCAAAGATGCTCAGTGTTCAGTAATAGCTGTTAAGAGTCATTCTCAGTCAGAAAAATTTCATTCTATGGCCTGAGCTCAAAAAATTGTAATAAAACTTTTTTCTTCTTCTTCTTTTGACATTATTGGTATGCAGTATTAATTTTAAAAAAAGGTTATGGTACCATGATATGCACAACATTTATTAAAAAAAAAAAACTTGGGAATTATAGCTACATCATTGTGATATGTAGTGTGCTTGAGCAGGGATGTCAAGTGATAAGAGTACCACATACCGTGTCTTGTCACAACTGCTCTAAAGCAGCCATAGACAATACACAAACAAATAAGCATGACTGTGTTTCAAGAAGATTTAATTTAAAAATGTAAACATTCTTAGCTCAGGGGCCATACAAAAACAGGTGGTAACTATATGGAATTTACAACAAAGAATATTTTATCTTTTATTTGTAAATTATGTGCTACCCATCCCTGGCCAATCCCTAATCCTTGGTGTCCAGAGACCCCCTCGGTCTCCCTGTGCCAACCTAAGCTGGAAATATGATTCACTGTGATTTTTTCCCTGGATTTCCCAATTACCACCCAGTCTGGTTCATAGATCTTTGTGGAGGTTTGTTGGGAGGAGCTCAGCTATTTTTCTTCCTGCTTCTTTGCCTTCTTAGCTCCCTAGACTATTTTCTCTAAATGAGCCTCCTTGTCCTATTATTAGTTGAGTTTAGAATTCCAACAGAACTGTCTTTGAAGCAGCAGAGATCCAATGGGGGAAATTTTGGGTTCCCTTTGAAATAAAATCCAAAGGAAACTTGCCTGGTCTTCCAACACGCCAATAGTACATGGACCCCTAGAAAACTTTTGGCAAATCTTATGTAAGAAAAGGACACCTAGAAAATGTTGTCAACACCCCAATTGAATGATTTTTTACACTAGGGACTCACATTAGTGTTTTCATTTGGGACAGTTGGTTTCTTATCAGAGAATGAGGAGGTGACTTCAGGTTTTCCCAAAGCTTTAAGATTGAGGTAAGGACTAAGCTTTCCTGAGACAGGAAGTATGACTTTACTTTTCTTTCAATCTGTTCAGTGATTAGACCTGATCTGTTAGCATGGGTCCAGAGCAAAAGGGAACCCCTACTAGATAAGGGAGAAGTTGAAATATCCCTATCAGTAAGCAGTAATTTTTGGTAAAATCTAACTCTATGAAATATTCTCCACTGAATATGCAAACCTTCTATTTGAGGAAAATTGTGATTTTTGCCTGTACATGTGGAATTTTATGTGGTCATTCTATAGTGCCCATTTTAAGACTTTTCCAAGTATAGCACTGGGAAAGCAAGTTAAAGGATAATGCTGCCTCCGCAGGATTCCAGAGGACTTTTCCCGAATTGGGAACATGTTCTGTGTCCTTGTGTACAAAGTGCACCACACCCAAACTAAGGATGGCAGATTTTTCAAATGGAAAAAATGTCTTGGAGCAGATGTCAGACTCACTGCAACTATGTAGAGCAACCCAGATTAAAAATGCAAATGGGAAATGTTTAACAAAATAAATAAACATGAAATACAATATAGATAATGTTTATTTATGGTTTTCTAGTTCAATATGTGGCTTTGCAGGTATGTGTTTCTATTTGAGTTTGACACCATTGTCATGGAAGACTAGTGTTCTTGCAGAGTATGGTTAGCTGATGTACCTGTAGGGAGACTTGGGAGCTTTCCTACTCCTTCTGTAACTGCTTCTCTATATGGTGGACCACTTTGATTGGCTACAGTGGTAGAGCTGGGCCTGGCAGACATTCAAAAAGGCCCCATTCGGCCCAGTCATCTCCCTCTTTCTCTTTCTCTCTCTCTCTGGGTTCTAGCTCTTCTTTTGGGCAGAGGTTTCTTTCCTTTGTCTCTCTCACAGCCTAAGTTTTGAGGTCCAGGCACTTTAGAGAAGGCTTGCTTCTCTTTTCTTCAGAAGCTCCTCTTGTTGCCTGAAGGTAACTCATTTCAGTTAAGACTTTTTCACCTGCTGTACTGCTTTGAAATTCTTATGTAGATGAGGAACTGGGGACTCTGGAATGAAAGCAGTCTTCGGCACTTTCATTGTCTTGCTGGCCTCTTTGTAATTAAAGTATTCACACCTCCCACCCTTTCTAGGACGAGGAATGCCTAATTTTCTTCTAAACCTTTCCCCTTTATTTTCCATTTTTCTGTCTTTTAGCCTTTCTGAAACTCCTCCTTTTGCTGAAGTCTTACTGAAGTACTTTTACACATGTATTTATAAAAGGAAGGTTCACAAAGTACTTTGCTCACAATTCCACAACTTACTGTGGTGTGGTAGGGGACATAATGATGTACTGGAAAGCATATTGGGACACAATTTTTGCATTCTAGCCCCAGCTACTACTGCTAACAGGTGGGAAGTTGACTTGGACAAATGACTTCACACTTTTGGGCCTCAGTTACCTCCCTTATAAACAAAGGCATTGCACTGATATATAAGGTCCCCTTCTATCTTTAACATTCTTTTGATTTTATGACTTGGCTCTTTTCTCAGTATCTCTATTTTCATCTCCTTTAAGGGTAAGATGAGGAAGGAAGAAAACCAGTACAGGGAAGAAAAACTTCACTGACTTTAGTTTTGCTTAGAATTGGTACTGTTAATTTTCACCTGTAGGTAGACGAAATCACTTCTTCACAGAAATCTTTTTAAATTTGAATTTAAACATACACACACACACACACACACAAACACACAAAAGAACATTTCCATATGCACAGCACAACACAAAAAAAGGGGATTGCATATGAAACAATCTCATTTTATACTGCTTGCTTTAAAAAAAAGTATATTAGCAAAGCATTAATTTCTACACGTCTTCCTTATCTGTGTTTTCTTCTGAACTTTCTTTTGGTCCCTTCCATGCATTTTAAAACGTGTTTCAATAGCCCTCTTTTTTTGGCTGTACTATTGCTAACCAATCCCACATCTCCCCCCAACCCCTTCCACCTATTAAAAACCAAGATAAAAAATTTTTAAAAGCACTTATAATAAGTAATACTTAAATAAAAATAATCTACACAGTGGCCATGTATAAAAATGTATTTCTTAATTCCATCATCTCTCCATTAGGAAGTTATACTATGCTTTATCATAGGCCCTCTGGAGATATGACTTATTGTTGTATTAATGGGTTAAAATCTATCTTTTTTTTTCTCACACTACTCAGGATTCACTGATATCTTTTTCCAACATTTTTTATGGTGCAATAATGTTGCGTTACATTCATGTACCATAGTTCAGCCATTCCCCAATTGATGGGCACCCATTTAAATTTTAATTCCTCCCTTTCAGATGAGGAAGTTTGTTTCACTTATGACCATTTCCTCCCAAGTATTATCACCTGATTCATCTCATGGTGTCCCTCCTTTCCTCCATTTTTGCATAGTCTTCTCATCTACCCTAATTATAAGAAATAGCAAGTTCCTTCTTCCTCATTTTTACACTACTGTATTCCTTGTACTTTATTCTTCTTCTAAGACCCTCAGAACAAAACTAATCTATCCCCAGTTCTGTTTTCCTTATTTAATTCTCTCATTACCCTTTGAAGACACTAAAGTTCTTAAAGGACGTTTATTTCTTCTCCTTTTAGAATGTCAGCCCTTTATCATCATACATCTTCTAATTGCTCAAGTAAATTTGCATTTTTAGGCTTCTCTTGGCTCTCCATTGCTTGGGAGCACAGACAGCTAGTTCTGCGCAATAAAATCTCCCAAGTGAATGTTGGTAAACCTGCTGCAGGGCATGAGTAAGGCCCAGCTTTCCATTTCAGAGTATATGCAAATTTAGCAGATTTAAGGAGTTTGACAATTAAGGGAATTGCTCATCACTAAACAGTTTGTCACTTTCTCATCATCCTATCAAAGGTGGTAGGGCCATCTCCAGTTGTCCTGATGTGTATCTCATCACTGGACCCAGATGGCTCCAGAGGAAAAAGTGAGGCTGGTGTCTTTGCACAGCCCTTCCTCACTTCAGTCCAATTCACTTGCATGTCATGTCTTCACCTCCCTGATGTTATGGTCCTGGTGAAGAACTAAGGACAAACTATTCAGTAACTATTTTCTGTCTGCTAGCAGAGTTGCAAAAGGGGCCTTTTGATTGGCTATTGAGCCAGAACTGGGAGTGTATATGAAAGGCATTGACTGCCCAAATCAAGCACTCTCCATGGCTTTTTTTTTTTATTGAGGAGGACACACTGCTGTGGTCTTCCAGGTGGCAGAGCACCAGGAAAGTGCATGACTTATGCCAGGATGGGACCACCTACTGTTTGTTTCTTTCCTTTAGTACAATGCATTGAAAGGTAGGAAGGAGGGAACCATCAGAAGTTGGAGTTCATACTGAAGTTTACTGGCAGCTAAGCTCAGTGTGCCAGTGCATCCCTAAGGAGTTGCCTACTTGACCCAGAACAAAAGTGAATCAGCCCAGCAGCCAAGATATTGTTTTCTTCAAGCAATGACGCCATTTTGTTCACTGGCTATGCCAAATTTGGGAAGGAATGTAGTGGATCAAATGCATCTAGTCTCCCCAGGAACTGATATAGTATAGGAGAGAGTGTGCCCTTGGTTCAGGGGAGATTTTTAATTTTAGTTCATACTACGTTCTTTGTAAAAGTTAATACTAATTAAATTATATTGGAGTGTTAATCACCGGGTCATTCGGTGGTATAGAGGAGACTCTGTGACCCTGATACTTGGTATACTTCATTAAATACACGAGATATTTTATTATGGTCACATAAGCTGTTACATGAATAACTGAAATCAAGCCATTCTTTTTTTTTCCCCACCCTATTTTTTCCATATTCATAATTAGGTGACAAGAAAGGATTTTCTGTGAAGAACTCTGATTCTACCCTATCAGACAAAAGCTGGCTAGCTCTGAAGAGAAGAGCCCAGAAAGTAGTGACAACATCCAGAGGATTGATATCGAGACCAGCAGAGCAACATGTCACTGGAGACTCTGCTAAGAACAGAAGAGCTCAACATGTTTATAGATACTATACCATTGTACATAACACCATGAGAGGTGTGAGGTGACTCATCCTTCATATCCCTATTTGTGAGCACCACATACATGATTCCCATGCAAGCTCACTTTCCCCAATGATAACATGTAAAGTTGTGGGAAAGTATACCCATATTTATGGGAGGAAATACAGAAAATATATGCAGAATTAAGTAATGACAATGTAATAAACCACCAAAGAACAATCAAAAGTCAAAGCTGCAAAATTACGAAGAACAAACAGTGAAGTGATATGAGAAGGCACAGCTACCCCACTCCTTTGCAGAGATGGAAGGTACACAGGTGTAGACCATTCTTCTTTACTATGCTATTTCATTAAATACCTTTGCTATAACCAGTTTTGTCCTATGGATGACTATAGAAAGAATAAACACTTTGCTGGGGGCTATCATTTTAAGGCAGGTAAATGGTTCAGTGGATAGAGCACTGAGTCAAGAAGACCTGAGTCTAAATCCAGTCTCAGACACTTACTAGTTGTGTGACCCTGGGCAAGTCAAACCTTTACCTTAATCCACTAGAGAAAGAAATGGCAAATCACTCTAGTATCATTTACCAAGAAAACCCCTGGATAGTATTGGCATGCTGTGGTCATAGGATTACAAAGAGTCGGACACAAGTAAACAAATGAACAACTGAACAACAGCAATAATCATTTTGAGTGGCTGTCTCTCCACAGAGTGGCATATACTAGGAATAGCTATTTTGGACACTGAACATGTGTGAGTATATGTGTGTAGAAGGGTGACAGCTGCTAACAAATTCATACTTAGTTACATCAATGTAAAGGTGAACATAAGGGAAAATGATGGAAAATATGTTGAAAATAAAGTTCAAGATTAAGAAACAGAAGATGCTGAAGACATAAAGCCTTCTCAAAAGCCTCATGCCTAAATATCATGCATACTTTCTTTAAGAGTGTTGGAAGGCACTGGATCAGACAAGCACGAAAAATCTCACCCCTGGCAAAAGACCATATCTTAGCAGATGGGAAATAAATGGGTACAAAAATGGGAGTCATATACTTAGACCATCAACTTTTGGGTTTTTTTTTAAATACATTTTTATTGCTAGCTTTCCATTTCCCATATCAACTTCGGATCTGTTTTATAGTAGATTTAAAACACACCTCATTCTTGAGAAGCAGTATGTTAGCTTACGTGAACACATATTAGAATTAGGCAAAGAAACTACATGTCTAAGGAGTTTGTTTTTAAAGTAATTTTTATTGATATCTTTTGTTTTAACGTTGCCAAAATTTCTCCCAGTATCCTCCCCTACCTCCTCTCCCAGAGAGCCATCCCATATAGCAAGTAATATTTTAAAATTAAACAAAAAGAAAGAAAAAGGAAGAAGAAAAAAATCAAACCTGATTAGTATAACAGAAAAATTTGAAAATATTTGCAACTTTGACAAAAAGTTCAAGTACCAAAAAACCAGGGTAAAGATCACACAATATTTGGCAGCTACTGTTGTGAAAGACAGGCTAGCTTGGAATACTATGTTCCAGAAGGAAAAAGATAAAGGCTTACAACCAAAAATAACAACTAGGCAAAATAGATGAAACAGGTATCCCTTTAGGATCCTTATGTCTTCAAGGATCATGGAGAGTATAATTTATTATTTCACATAGTATAGTATAGATGTGTGAGCAGAAGATTATATACAAACATGGAGGAAGGGATGGGGGAAGCAAGCATCATGTGCACTTTTAAAGGGGAGTTGAACATACACTCAAAAAATAACTTGGTATAATTGCATTAAACTCAATGGGGAAAAAAAGGCAAGGATGGTAGGGAGGCAGTGTTTGAAGGGAGGGTAGAATAAGGGAAAGATTAGTGGTAAAACAAACTTTGGAGGGCTGATCAGGAGGCAGAATAGAAGAACAAAAGAAAGTAAAAATCTGATTAGGGTCTAGGGACAAGAAGAACAGGGTGGTAAAAAAACTGGTCAGAGGATAGTAAGGAGAGGAAAAAGCATAAGAATAAGATGGAAGGAAATACATCAGAACAACATAAATTCACCTATCAGAATGGATTGGAAGGCTGAATCCAATAATGTGTTGTTGCAAGAAACATACTTGAACTTAAAGATTCAATTAAAATGAAAGTCTAGAATAGAATTTTATTCTTTAGGTAAACTCAAAAAAGCTGGGGGAGCAAGTGTTATCTCAGACAAGGAAATAGTAAAAGATAAATATGATAAGTGGAAACATGGTTAAAGGCATCATAGACAAAGAATGTCAATGCTTAATATATATGCACCAAGTGATATAGCATCTAAATTTTTTTTAAGTGAGAACTAGATAGTAAAACTATAATAGTTGTGGACCTCTTATAAATTAGAAATGTTACAAATAGGCAAAAAAGATGTTAAGAATCTGATTCGAATTTTGGAAAACTAAGATATGATGGACCTCAGAATTACTGAAAGGGAACAGAAAAGTTTACATATTTCTCAGCTATTCATGCTATCTTTTAAAAAATTGACCATGTACTTGCTAATAAAAACCTCATAAACAATGCAGAAAAGTAGAAACTTTAAACACTATTTACTGACTACAACACAATAAAAATTATAAAAGGGCCTTTGAAGAAAAGATTGAAGTAAGTAAAGAAACAAAAGCAATAGAGAATTGCATTTTTAAAAATTACAACAATGAGATGACATGCCAATATTTTTGGTATCTAACCAAAGCAGTCCTGAGAGGAAAATTTCTATCACTAAACTTCATCAACAAAAGGAGAGAACAAACATCAACGATTTGGGCATGAAACTTTAAAAAAAGAGAAGAAAAAGAAAGAAAAACAGCACATCAAAATAACAACAATAACTAAACACTGAATTGTGCTGTTCAGGTTTTTTCACTTGTCTTGTTCTGGGATACCCATGATCCTTAAATTGTTTCTATGCATTCTGTCTGAGAGAACAATATGTCTTAATTCATATAGAATAGAGATTATGTTTGCTTTTAATGGAGTTCCTTTTTGCTTCTCTTCTTCCAAATTGTCCTTCACTTCAGTGTATTTGTGCTCCCCTTCAATTATTCTCTCAGTTTTTTGGAGAGACTTGCTTCATAGATTCAAGTTTTTCTATTTTCCCAATTACTTAAACTGTGCAGACCATAAATTCTACTTTCATGATTCTTATTTTTCTCTCAACCCATTTAAGAACACTCTACTGTGGTTCCATTCTCTCTTGGGAATCCATGGGATCCTCTGTCTCATCAAGTATTGATTCATTTTCCTTTGTTTTGCAATATTTATTCAGAGATGTTTAGACTTATGTAGATGATCTGCAGGCTGTCTTTTCTTTTGATATTAATATCTTCCCTGTTGGTTTATATCCTTGGGCTCAAATTCTTTTAACTGAACACTTTTATGATTTCTTACTTTCTCCTTATATTCCTCTATTACTCACTTTCTGACTCCTTGCCCTTTGATGGTAATATCCCTAGGAGCTGAACTTCAAGACTGTCTCAGCTTCCTCACATAATGAATTCGCTTTCCCCAGCCTCAGTTTCTTCCCTAAATATCTTCTGAAGGGAGAGAGCTAGCCCCTGAAGCCAGTTCTCTATCCATTTTGCCACACTGGCTCTCTTTAATGCTATTATGGTCATGGTAATGATGGTAATAATATTAGATTACATTGATGTACTTCATGTGTATTATGTCATTTGATATTCATAGTAAGCCTTTTTTTCATGATTATAAACATGTAGAATCAAAGCAAAGTTCACATTGGCTATATCCAAAAAAAATTGTCTCATTCTGAGTCCTTTATCTGCTGTCAGGAAGTGAGTGAGTAGCATGTTTTATCACTAGTTCCCTGGAATCCTGGTTGGTCATTATACTGAGAAGAGTTCAGCACAATAGTATTCCATCACATTTACCATATTCCATCCCACATATGTACCAAAAGTTGTTCACCCATTCCACAATTTATGGGTACCCCCCCCCTTAGATTCCCATTCTTTCCAACCTTAAAAAGAGCTATAAATATTTTTGTTCATCTTTAGAGTTTGTTTTGCTTAGGACCAATCCCTCCCTTAATCTGTCCTCCCTTTAATTTTCCCACCTCCCTTTTCCTTCCCATTCTATTTTCCTGAGTGAAATATATTTCTATACCCCGTTTTGTGTGAGTATATTCTTCCTTCTTTTGGCTAATGTAGATGAGAGTGAGATTCGAGTGTTAGTCACTGCTCCTAACCCCTCCTCCTTGGGAGATAAAGCCAACATGGCAGAGTACAAGGAAGCAATGAGGTCGGCAATATAAATATTATCATTCCCATTTCACAGATGTGAAAACTAAGGCCCATTGGTTTTACATGACTTTCCCAAGGGCACACAGCTAGTAATTAAGAACTGGGACTTGAACTCAGACCTTTTTACTCTGCTGCTTTTGCCATCATAATCACACTTTATCCTGCAAATCACATCTATAGTGGTGGCCTACTTGGCTCATATATATGTAAGGTTAGCCCTAATGAGCTGTGTCACTACTGTGTTTTATTAATTCAGTATGAAATTCATCTATTAAGGGCCAGTAGTTTTCAGAGTCCTTGGTGTTTATGTTCATAGATCTTATGGTATAAAGAGGATAACACACACAGATAATGCTCAGGCATGGTAAGTAAAGGAGTTAGAGAAGTGAGGGACCAAGTCCTCTGAGGGACTTTAGGGAAGGTTGTCATTAACAGGGGAGGGAGTGACAGCTGAGGAAAGCTTCATGTAGAAAATGGTATTTGAATTCAGTAGGTTAAAAGGTGGGGTGAAGGATGTGAGAGGCTAGGGAGCTGGTGGGAGCTGGTGTGCTGGGTATTGAGATGCCCTTCACATTCTGAAAAGTGAACTGCATAGCTCTCTTCATTTGTCACATTCCAAAATGTTAGTGAAATGTTCAGACCTAAAGCACACTAGCCTTTTGCTGGCTAAGCTAGTGTTAGTCATAATGAACACAGAATTTCTGACAATCCCTCCACCTCTGCATGCCCAGTTTTTTATCCTGATTGCCAGTTCACCACCAGATCCAATTCCAGGTTCTCGTTCTAATGTCTGAGATACAGAATGGGACCCGGAAACCTCAAGAACAACCTGACAACTTGTTTTTCATCCTCTCCTTCCCTTCCCACCATTCCTCAAGGGTTTGTCAATTAATAGCCAGCAGCAGTTGCCAGAGTTGGGTGGACAAAAACTTTAAAAAGCTTTTCTGTCTTCAGACCTTTAACTTCAGACATGGGAAATTATATCTCCTTAAATATCTAGCCTAGTCCTACTATCAAAACACTGAGAAACATGTTAGACTTTCCAGACTGCTCCAAAATTTACATCTGTTCATTTC